ATAATAATAATGTTACACTAAAATTTATTAGATTAAAGTAGAAATTATTTTATGAAAACTAAGGCAATATGTAGAACTAATTAGGCGGATCAAAAAATATTCACAATTAATATTTTATTAATGCAGCAAAGTAATTGTTAAAAAAATATATGTACGGATTTTTCTTTAGTAGATTCTTTATTCTTTGTTTAGATTCTTATGCATTTGTGTTTAGTCACAAGATGTTAAAATAGAATTGCATGCAGCATTATTTTAAAACAATTAATTATAGCGGTAATCTTATAAGGTATAATAGCATAATTGTAATGCATGATTGTTCCAAATATAGGTACTCAAATCTTTCTATCTCTACAATAATTGCACATAACCATTATTTTAATTATGTGATGCAAAAATAATCGTCTTGATATAATGGAATGATTTAAAAGAACAGAGAGAAAAATTATATAAATCATAATATGATAGTAAAAAAGAAATTAAGTATAATACTGCATGATAATTTCGTAAAATATCAAATTTATTTAATAATATGCTAGCCATTCTTATTACAATTGGATATACCATTGTTTAAAAAATTTACGAAAGTATGTATGAATAGCAAACTTATAAAATTATCTTTTATAAGTTATCCCTTTATAATAGTTAGGGCTAGAGTGAGTATTAGTATAGTTTTAAAGAATTTCTTTTACTAACTATAATACATGCCACTTTAATTTCTACTGTACATATTTGCTATATACTCTTAATACTAATGTGTAAATTAAATTCATTTTGATACTTACGTACGTACATTATTTTTTAAACTCCACTTGAATTTATGATTAAATCAGTATAAAAGAAAATGCGAAAAAATTTTTAATTTTTTTTTGAACTTCTTCTTTTTTTCTCACAAGTTCAAATCAAAGTTTGATACCCAAATATTTAAAGAGATATTGCATCCAAGTTATTTTCTAATTTACAAGCCTAACTACATTTAGTTCCTGTTTAAATTGCCACAAATATACTGTCGTTTTCTATTTATTACTACAAACGTACCTTTGTTCATCTATTTATTACCACAAACATATTTTTGTTTCCTATTTATAGCTTTGTAGTTTCTTATTTATTGCTTCAATTTACTTAAATAATATGTTTTCACATAGAAATAGATTCAAAAAAAGCATCTCACAACAACCTTATAACTTACGTATATTTTCCAAAAAAATTTACTTAAATGACTATACATTCTCAGGCAATTTGAATCATAATAATTTGAACCTACAAACTAGTCGTACGCTATATAGTAATGAGCTTAGTAACAGCTCAGACATTAATAACCAACGATTTGAACCTAATTATAACAAAATTAGTGGTGACGAACAATCTTACCATGGAAATATCGATCTAGAATATAATGACCAACATATGAGTAGTGGCAGTTTGTGTGATACGGACAATTTGGAATGTGATCAGAAATTTGAAGATAACTTGGATTATGATGATCTAGAAAGCATATATTATGAAAATGAATTTAACAATAATATAAATAGCGATAGTTTAAATGATGAATGTGAACTAATATCAATGGATGATAATGCACCAAAAACATTTAACGGGACGAAATCCAATATAAATTGGAATCATGAATGTCCATTTGGTTTCTTTGAAAATTTCACAAATATGGCTATATTTACATGGGCTACTACACACATAATTTGTAAGTAATTTACTTATGGTCTATTTACATATCAATATATAAAA